ACATGGTCAGATTTAGCCACAGCAATGACCCCACTTCTCTGGTACCAAATTCTGGCTCAGTTAATCTCTCACTGCTGGGACAAATACCCAACACTCCAAATGAAGGAAGGAAAGGTTTATTTAGCTCACAATTACTGGAGGTTTCAGTCCATGTTCTGCTGGCTCCAAGGCAGAGCAGCACATGGCAGAGGGCAGCAATTCATGGTGGCAGAAGTCAGCACAACAGGGCCAGCCAGATAGCTCAGCAGATTAAAGAACCTGAAAGCAGGCACAGGGGCTGGGGGGTTCGATCCCCAGGCCTTCTGTGCCAGCCCCGCCCCCCAGGCACACTGAGATGGCAACTGAGACTGGGCGTGGTGGTGCATGCCTGTGTTCCCAGCTCTTGGGAGACTGTAAACAGGCAGATCACTAGAGTCTGATCTAGAAGTGAGACCCTGAACACCATGTAGACCTTTCCCTAAAATACAAAAAGAAAAAAAAAAAAAAACAGCACAACAGCAAGAGGGAAGAGGAGCAGCAACAGAGAGCAAGTCTGTCTCCCTTACATTGCATTCAGGCTCTCTGCTCCCGGCTGAGTGCAGCATTCACACCCATAATCCCAGCAACTCTCACATCCATAATCCCAGTAGCTCTCACATCCATAATCCCAGCAGCACTCACACCCATAATCCCAGCAGCTCTTAGACCCATAATCTCAGTGGATCACGAGGCTTTGGGGGGACACCTAGACACAAACCATAACAGAGGGTAACAAGCTAATGTTTATTACCTGAAATATTCACTTTGGGGAATTCATGCAAATGGCAATAGCCTGTAGGCACATAGACAACAAGCCATGGTTAGGTAAATTAGCTTTGGGGGACATTTGTATATGTTGAGACCTTCTGAGAAAATGTGTTGAGCTGAACATAAAAAGGAGGTTGAAAACTGCTGAACTAGGAACATTGTCTTCTGGGAAACATGTCTAGTTAGTCAGAAGATTCTGGAGCCCCTGTCCAATTTTCCTGAGGTTGGCCTGCTCCCAATTTAGCAAGATGTCAAGGTAGCTAAATGAGGAGAGCTCTGGTCTGTGTGGCATCTTTGTGTGAGTCCCTGGAAGGCTCCCTGCCATCTGGGGGAAGATGGCTGCAGTAGGATGATTCTGCTAGAAGACGCTTACTACTCACCAGTACTCACTTTCCATCATAAATGCATAAAAGCATGTGTGAATGGCACCTCCTCGGGCCTGGTGCCACCATGCACTGCACAGTCGTACCGGACATTTGCAAGTAGCAAAAAATAGAAATCCCCATGGTAACACTTGTCTGGGATGTGAAAATGAGAAAACCGACTCCATTGCGGTAACTCCCGGGAAGTTTCTATCCAGTAAGTTGGTGTTTTTAAGGCTCCGGAGGTCCAGAGCCAGGTGGGGGGCGGGGGGTCCCTTCCTTGATGGCTTCCATTACTGCGAAGGAGAGCTCAGCTATTGTTCTTGGGTGTGTGTCCCCATCTGTTAAAAAGACCCACAGTAGTACTACATAGCCAATGGAAAAGATTCTCTGTTTACGGAGAAAACACAAAGCATGTTTCTTCCCCATCATTAACCAAGCTGGGTATGTTTAACAGGACTTTTCCACTTTGGTATCCAAGTTAAGACTATCAGTGGTGACTTTTTTGCTTAAATCTAAACATTTTAGAAGCATTTTGTAGGGAAAACTATTCACAGGCTCATTCAAAGAGAATCAAATAAATAGTTTGGTGAGTTTCCATCTTGGAAGTAAGATGTTTATTTAAGAAACTCTAATAAAGCCCTCTTTCAAGCCCATAAAAGTTACAGTCAGAACCCAGTGGTGAACTAAAGAGTCAGGAAATAGTTATTGATGAGAGACAGACAGACAGACAGATAGACAGAGGGACAGAGAGAAGCAGTGAAGAAAGCATCTTAATGAGACACTTTTACTAATGATGCTTATTTCCTCCAACTTTGAAAAACAATCACACTGGCTGTAGAATTTAAAATGTGCTTGCTACACAGTGGCTCTTCACAGCAAGAGACAGGAGCCAGGGTATGGCAAAGAGGTAGGGCTGACATATTGGCAGAAGGGTTTAGTGCAAAAGAGATTTTCATCAAGGGCCTGCAGAACAATAAGGGAAAATCCAGAGCCTCTTGCCCAGGGGACTGGGCAGAAACCAGGAAAGAATCTGTGAAGAGCTGGCAAGAGAGCCGCTGATGGAGAAGATTGTGTCTCAGAAAAATGCCCGAGGTGGAGCCTTTTATGGGGCACACGGAAATGAGCACGTAGCAGGGATGGCCACGGAAGGAGCCAAGCTAGTTTAGACATCAGTCTGCCTCTTTATTTACTCCTCAAAGCCTCTGTAGATAAGAAATCAGAACACAGTGAGTGAGGCCTGATATGAGAGAAAATTCGGAGAAGCACATGCAGTTGGGTACGGAAGATGGCCGAGAGTTCTGCGCAGGAAAACCGGGGCATGTGCAGATTGCACTGTGATCAAAGTGACAGCACGGGACAAGAACCTGGAAGCAGATGCATAAGTGCACTAGTTCCCAAATAGCCACAGTGGAGATCAAAGCCTTTAATTGATTTAGAAGAAAGCTTGGCCTGATGCCACCGATGACATTTCGCTATGCTTTCTACCTTATGCTTATAATTATTCTGCATCCATATGATCCTAAGTCAACTGTGCCTTAGGTTATCTAACAAGCGAGCACACTCAGAGCTACCCCTTTTGGTTTAACAGTCACACTGGCCCTACGAATGTTTAGTGAGATCCCATCTGCAGTGGAATGGTAACTGCTGTTGGGCGGCTCGGCTTACCTACTGGCCTTGTGGTCAGAGAGGTAGAAGCAGCCTTGTGACCGGGGCTTACTCCAGCTCAGTTACCTGCCTGCTAGTCCATTTCGCTCTTCAGCTGCAGCCGGTGAGCTGCACAGTCTTCCCCATGGGGCATGAGATGGCACATACATGGTGGAAAATGAACACAGCTCAACCTGCAGCCTCTTCCTCGCGTATCTGCCTTGGTGGGTTATTAAGGGTGAGGCCAGCGGCTCTCAATGGCGGCCGCACGTGAGGAGCTTCTGGAGGTGTGTGCAGTCTGATACCAGGCGCGCATCCGTGTGGTGCAGAGGAGCTCACGGTCCTCTTTGAAGCACGCCCTGCTGCCCCTCTCTCTCCCTGCATCCCTCCCCGGCCTCCCTGCTGTGAGCTCACACAGGATTCCGTTGTGTGTCTGTCTCAGTCGCACAGGGCCTTGCCTCAGAGCTGCAGACGTTGTGGCCTTAATGCTGAAGAAGATCGGACCTCTTCTCTGTGCTCATTCCTCTCATGCCTCCTTCTCACAGGGCTGCTGAACGCCTTTCACCTATACAGGTGGGACATCCAGGTGCCCAGGACAGCTGGACCCAGGAAAAATTCCGACTTCTCTGTCCCTGGGGGTTTAATTTAGCCAAGCTTTTTTTTTTTTTTTTAGCACTTCAAAAGGATCAGGGTGGAAATATAGTTTAAGAAATAAAGGAGCTTTCTAAAAATAGAATACAGCTCATCCATTTCAATTAAAAAAAAAAAAAGCCTTCATATTTTCCAAACTCCTAAGCATTTTTAATCAGCTCACTTCTGAGTCTTATTAAAAAATAAATAAATTATACTTGTTTTCATTAAGGGAAGGGATCTTTTTCCATTTCTACGGATATTGTTGAAGGAGACAAAAAAGGAATCCAAAATTCAGCAAAGGAGCACATTATTAGTGACATATTGGTCGCAGATGTGCTGGTAGAGCTACATTTTTTTCCCTCCAATTAGTGTTTTAAGTGCCCACAAATTACCTATGAAAGGCCAGATAACTTCTTTACAAAACAGACCAAGGAAAAATTTTTATTTTGAAAGCATTCTAAGTATCTTTTTACAAGTAGGAGCATAAGCGACACCTGTCTGCATGCTGCTCCTTTAAAGTAGAGCTACGTAGATGGCTCCAGCATTATTTTCAATTCTGAATGCTGCAAGCAAGTGAAAATCCTTGTAGGCACTTTTTGGTGCTACCTGTGGCAGTTCACGTTCCTTTCTATAACAAGTCTTAAGAAAATCAAAAGAGCAAAAGCCCAGACTTGGAAAGGAAACTCTTAAGAAACTGCATGGCTCTGGAGGCCTTTGGGGCAGTTTGTGGATGTTGGCCAAACTTTTGTTCAGTAGCAGAAAGTCCTCAACGTTCTGTAAGGATCACATTCATAAGCCAGTTCTGGAAATCAGGGTGGGGCTCACCTGGGAGGAGCAGGCGTTGGCAGCAGGGTGCCCTTCTAGGTCTGGGTAGCAGATGAGTGTGACTGCAGACCCCAGCCATGGCCGGAAGGGTGGAAGGAAGTGAAAGATCGTAAAGGAAAAAGGGCGAAGAAACAGACTTGACAGACAGAAGTAATGACAAGCTAGATCTTCAGTGTAAGACTGCTTGAGAATATTTTATTCTCTTAGATGAGAAAACTAAGTAAGAGAGTGACTCCTAGAGAGCAGCAGATGCCTCATGTTCAGCACGCTTGCGTGGAGGCGATGACCAACATGAGATCTCATGTAAATTGAAAGCGATAAAAAAAAAAAAAGAATGAAAGGATTAGTGTGTTACCTGTGTAAGAAACTGAACCATGATCCCCCCCAAAAAAAAAACCTGTGGCCTGACTTCATGGTACACAGTAAGAAAGTGAGGTATTTGCATTTGTAACTCAGTAAGAATATGCATCCGAAGATGATCGAATGGCCTGATTACAGTGACAGGCAGCTTTACATCGGAATCTTGTGATACCTGTATTTGAGCCCCTCAGCTATTTGATATGCTGTCAAGGGAATGTCAGAGTTTGATGGTAATCCAGCGCTTTCTGGCCTCTTGGGTGCAGTTCAGTTTTGTAAGTTCAAGACATCCCACTGTACAGTATTTTTTAAAAAATAGGCCTGTAGGGAAGACTTTAGATTCTTTCCCTTCTAAACAGTCCCTTGTTTTCTTGCTTCCCATTTCCCTAGGAAAGTGATAATTCTGGAGGACCCGGATCAGAACATTCACCTAAAAAACCTGTCTCTTCATCAGGCAACGACGGAAGAAGAAGCTCTGAACTTGCTCTTCTTAGGAGACACCAACAGAATGATCGCAGAGGTGATGCGGCTGTCTGCACACTACTTTTCTGATCTGATTAGATACAAGGGTGAGGCAGCGGAGGCCTTCAAAGTGGCCTCCTCCGAATCTCCTGTTGCAGAGAAGTAAGGAGGCACCTCTGGCTCCCCAGCTAGTCAGTGAGCAGGGACTAGCACCTGGACTTCTGGGTGCTCAGCTCCATTTTTTCCACTTCACTTTGCTGTGTGCCTTTTAGTTTTAATTTTTATATATTTTAATGTCTTTACAAATTGGTTTGCAGCTAATCAGTGACAACCTATAAAACATCTTATAGCAAGTTTTGTATAGTTTGTGGGATTTAAACATATATAGTTTCTTCTTCCTACCCTGACATTATCCATATAGATTCATTTAGTTGGTGAATTAATACTGGTAAAGCATTTCAAAACAACATGTTAAACGCAGGAAGTGTCCCCTGTGGGTTGGCAGCTGTCATTGCCACATCTGGAACACTACCACGGTGTGCAGTAAAAAAGTATGTCTCCATGCAGTATTGGGGGCACATGTATTTCAGAAAGCATTCACTGTTTGTCTGAAGTTCAGTTTAGCTGAGTTCATTTATTTGATCTGGGAACCTTAGACCGGAGCTGGGATTAACCCATCGGGGTCAGGAGCCAAGCCTTACCGGTTACCGATCAGAGAGGGAGGCTCTCGTCCAGCTACACAGAGGCGAAAGAAGGGGAGCAGGAGGAGGAGGAGGAGGCGGTGTGGGAGCAGCTCCCCAAGTACACAGCCTGCGGTTTGCACTGACACTGTCTTCCTAAACCATGCCTCCCCTCTGAGTTCCGTGTTTTACCTGCTCTCCTATGCCACGTAGAAGTGAGGATCGTAGAGGATAAGAGGACGAGCAGCCCAGCACAGCGCCCACCCACCAAGTGACCGTCCTTTGCTCCTTTCCGCCCTCTGAATGCACAGCCTTCGATGCAGAAAGATAAATGGAAGCCAGACCCAGAGAGTAGAATCACAGTGCTGGCACCTTGCGCTTCTTCAAAGCTGGGCTTGTGAAGAGAGCTCCCATAGCTTTAACTTCAGACTCTCTTGCTCAGTTTTATCATCATGTTTTGTGTTGCTGCTCAGTGCTGTGAGGCTTTGCCCGTGTGATCATCTGTGATGCTCTTATTTGTTAAAATAATTGAAGATTAAAGGAGGAAGCAGATTAAGAATTAGGGCACATGATGCCGAGGGAGTTAGCACGCTCCTCTGTCTATACACAGCTTAAGAAATGGCAAACCTAGAGATACAGAAGGTAGGTGGATATGCAGAAGAGAAAAGGTGGCTTCGTTAGTGCCACATGAAAGACCCTGTCATGGCTACATGCTGACCTTCCTCAGAGGTGACTCATCCTTACGAAGTGGAGGCCTGGTCCTCATTCCACTGTGGCAGGTACCCGACCCAGTCTCACTGTGGTCTCCAGCAGCACTCGGTATTTCAGAGTTATGCATTACATTTGCTGACCACATCCAGTGTATTTCCAAGCTGCTCTGTGAAGTTCTGAGGAACTTCCTCTGTGAAACCTACTTGTCATATTTTCCACCTTCCAGAATCCCAAGTCTTTTCCTCTTACTGATGAATGCATCGAATAATAGTATCATTAAAACCTAAACTCCAGTGCTGACCATACTGGCCACGTGTTCATTTCAGCTACTCATTTTGCCCCTATGCAGTCTGACCTTTTGAAACCCTGTCCAGTAGTTGTTGTGCTTCAGTACCTGCTGATGTTTTTCCTTGGTAATAAGAGCTGCCATGGCACACGGAGAATCTGTACGACACACGCTTTATATATATTTCATTCTGATCTGCACCTTATAGGTAGAAACTGGGGCTGAAAGACAGCCTTCTCCCCCTGCTCACACTGCTAATAAGCAGAGCAGTCAGGGCTCAGCTCTCCACCCAGCTGAATGGGAAGTTTATGTTCTTTCCTTATACCATGCACACAGGAACCCAATCAAGATAGGTCAAATTTTTCAAATGAGCATATATTTCTGAATAATTTAAAATATGCACCAAGTAGTTAGCACCTTCATTGATCTCTTGAATCCAGTGAAAGAAAATACACCTATGTTCAAAATACAAATGAAGCATAGCCATTAACCCTTGGAAATTCTTTATTATTCATGGTCTCTAAAAAAGCCATGTTTTGGATTACAGCCTAACTGTCAGAATGTAATTTGTCAGCGCAGAACGAGCTTACCAGGATAAAAAGAACACACTAATCATTTTTTAAAAAAAAAAAAAAAAACCTAAGTCCCAATTTCCCATTTACACAGAGAAATCCAGAGGTTTCCACAGTAACCAGAAAACATTTACAAAACAAAGTCTCCATCTGTCAGACGTAGAGCAGAGGGCCCTTTCCTTTCCTATGCTATACTCCTCGCCAGGATTTTAAGGGAAAGTTATTAAGAGTATCCTCATTCTCTTCTTATTTATTCAGAACTCTTGAATAATTTCTGTGATTTTACCAATGTTTTGAATAAAATCTGACTATGTCCTTAGGGTACTTTCTTTGGAGTTGAATTGCTAGGTCAAAGAGAATAAATATTGTAAAAGTTGAACTGTGTATGACCCAGCCTCATCGCCCACCAGTAGCCAGTTGGGTTTGATATTTTTGTGTCTTATAGTTGAAATATTTACACCATTAATCAAATCTAATTGAGACACTCTGGAGCTTCGTTTTGTCTCACAGTACTGGAGATTGAAGCCAGGGCCTTCACACAGAGTGAAGTCCCCAATCCTTTCAGTTTCTTTCAAGTCTGAGACGGGACTCACTACATTGTTAAATTAACAAAGCTGGGCTCTACTTTATGATCCTCCTGCCTCAGCCTCTCAAAGAGCTGGAGTATAGATGTGACATTCTGCCTGTGACTGGCAGCTCCAGAGCAGCCCTGTTGGCTTTTGTCCCTGCCTTGGAGACTGTGCCACTCACAGGATCTGGACCCAGCATAAGTTGCATGAAAATACCCTGTGGTGGTTAAGAGATGCAGCTTCTGGGATCCCATTCCTGGTGGATGAATTCAGAACCTGTAGTGGAGCCTAGAAATGTGCATTACCATGTACCACAGCAGATTGAGCTTTGCCATTCAGAAAGCTGGATGCAGTCTACTCCCAAAGAATTGTATGTAGCAGGGCTACATTCCACACTTGTCAGTACTACAAAATTTGAAAGGAAAAGAAAAAAGAAAGACAATCCTATTTTATTTTGCATTTTTGATTATCAACTTCCTGATTATCTTTATTGGGCATCTGCATGTCTGTTTTGCTCATTGTTCTGTTCTTCTCTTCGAGTGTTGGGATAGGTTTGGTTGATTCTATGAGGGCTAGAGCTTAGTCTTGTACCCCCACACATCCACCACACCTAGAAACAGAGCTAGATCAATTCTTCCATAAATAATTATTGAATGAATCAGCAGCAAAGACAACTGGTTTCTTTTTTGTATTTTAGGGAAGGGTCTACGGAGTGTTCAAGGTCTCACTACTAGATTGGACTCATAGTGATCCACCTGTTTACAGCCTCCCAAGAGCTGGGATTATAGGTGTGCACCACCACACACAGTCTCAATTACCGTCTGAGCACACCCCAGGGGTGGGGCTGGCACGGCAGGCCTGGAAATCAAACCCCCAGCCCCTGCAAGCAGACACTTTAATCCGCTGAGCTCTTTTCTTCTTCTTCTTTCAGTAGCAGGGAATCAAACTCAGGACCTTGTGCTTGCCAGGCAGGCGCTTATACCACTGAGCTATCTCTCCAGCTGAGCACAGAGACCTTCTTGTCATGTATTTAGCACTTACTTCCTCATTTTATAGATTTTCTTTTTTTAACAAATAGCCAAACAATCTTTGTATTTTGTTTTCTATTTTTGGTATCGTGTGTAAAGTCAAGAGTTTCACAAATGAATAATTCTAACTATCAAAAGGTATGTTGTTGTTTTACATTGAAATTTGATGCCTGGTCATCTGTCTCATTGTTTCCATTTGAGCCTGGGACATGACAAACCTGGTCGTCATCACGTTGAAGCAGCTCTTTCTCATTATTATTCATTATATTTATTGTGAATTAACAAATTATAGTTATATATATTTATAGCTGTAGAATAATGTGATGAGTCCTAAGTGCAAGGAGGATAATTAATTAAGATAATTAACACAGCTAGCATCTTAGATTCCAAACTTTGTGTTGTGTTGTGTTGTGTTGTAAGAAGTGGATTTCAGAGGGCTTTGGAGCATAAGGATTTTACCTGAAATTTAAAAGAAAGCCACACTAAATTAATAGAATCAGAATTCCTGTTGTATCCTCCCTGCAGAAATAGTCTCCATGGATTAAAGAAATGCCATTGAAGTATTTATTTTAAGGAGTCCTAATTCTGCTCAGAGTGAATCGTTAGCTCGCATGGGACTCTACAGAGAGGCCCTCTGGAGAAGAGCATGGTATCTGCGGGCCTTTCCCCTCGAGCTTCACAGAAGGGTGCCTGATGGCTGAGGTGTGCCAAGCCCTCAAACAAACCCGTATGTTAAAGTCTCAATTCCCAGAATGTGAAAATACTGACCTTCTTGGGTCACAGTCTTCATGGAGGTGTCTAGGATGGAATGAGGTCATTAGGGTGGACCCTAAAGACTGGGCCACTGTGAGACAGATGCATGCCGCGGGAGAAGGTGGGCGCCGGCAAGGCCGGGAGAGGGGCTTGGAGCGGAGCCTCTCAGCCCTCGGGGGCAGCCAACCCCGCCAAGCCCTTGCTTTGAGACTTCCAGCCTTCGGAACTATGAGGTGATACATTTCGGCTGTGGGTGCCACCCATCTGTGGGCCTGTGTTTCAGCCTTCCTAGCGAACAAATGAGCCATGTATTAGTTCTCCTTCAGTTGATACTGAATGCAGTAGCTTCTGACCCTGAAGAATTCAGGAGCAGGGATATGCTGTATCCACCCTACAGCATTTGCTAAGAAACTGCCCGAGGGGAACTGTGGAGAGTCAGTGCTTACCTTGGTGGGTGGC